TCCGATCTGAATGCGTACATATAGCAATGGTGCGTCGATGTCGTCGTACCGTTGCGTCTTGAACTCGCGGTCGATCTTCACAATGTAGGCGTGAAGGTCGACAACCTCTACTCCGGCGTTCATCAACGGAGTCGGTACTGCAGTGTGCAAGTAATCCCGCCGTCGGAGCTGATACCCTTACAAGGTATCCGCTCATGATATTGCAGTCGACACAATGTCGACGCCAACTGTTAGAACAGAGACGACTAAAAACAGAAACTGGGGTAAACCCCTTGACCATTAAGGTCATAAAAGTTTAGTAACCGCCAGGGCCAAAACACGACACGCGCGGACAAGCTTCGAGGGTTAAGAATTTCGAATGCTTGTCTGCATCACCACAGCGCATGCAGAGCCAACGAGAGTTAGTGGATTAAAAATTAGAATAACTGCGCACGCCATTCCGACGCGCGCAGAGACTGCAAAGTGGTTAGTAAATAAAACCTCCGACCACAAGGTCGGAAGGTTAGTCAAAACGGAAAAGAGTCGCGCGGGACGCAGCGACGGTTTTTCTCAGTCAGTTGACGACTGGGGAAGTATGACCATTTCAGCTCAAGTCCCCAGACGTCGAGTATATCGGAAAAGCGGGGCGGGAAACCACTCCCCGCGGGATAGAATATAGGTAAAAATTAGTGAAAGCCCCGGTCATGTGGCCGGGGCGACTAGGCAAGAGGGGCCTAGCCTGTTGTAGCAGGCTGCAGTGGCCAAACGTGGCCGAAGTTTTCCCTATGGGAGGCTGCAGGCCTCAAGTACTGATCGAACTGACCCTGTACTCTACTTAGGGCAAATTAGCTCCTAGTAGAACCGAACTAGGAGCTAGCCTAGTAGGTACAGGCGGAGATTGATAAGCAAAGGACCCAAGGATCGAATCTGACCTGCCTTCGGGCTAGCTCCTTTTGCTAGCAGCGAGGGGCAGGGCCTGCCTTTTCCGCCGCCCTCAAACAGGAGGGATTCGAACCCATGACCTCAGGCACGAGGTAAGATACAGTTAGACCCCGCCATGACAGTTGTCACGACGGGATATTTTCTAGTTAGATTTCGTTTTCTTTGTTAGATTTTCTTTTTCGTTTTACTATGTTTTTTTTTTTTCTTCTTTTTCGTCCCGTTGTTTGTTATTGAATGAACCCGCCTCGGAATCAGGGCAGGTTCAACGTAGGAAGGAGGTTACGAAACTGGCCGAGGTTGGGTTACCGGCCGCTCCGATCACAGTGCCACGAAGGCAAGCAACCACGGCACGGCGTGGCAGAGATCCAGCTGTAGGGAAGAAGGGCTGAGAAGCGTGGGGGAGAAAAGAAGAACGCGCGAAGGCGAGGAGAAGATAGCGCGAGTAAGCCGGAAAGCGGAAGAATCGCAAAGAAGGAGAAGGAGAAGGAGGTGAGGGAGAAGGAGAATTAGGAGAAGAAAGGGGGAGGAGATAATAATTACCTGATCGTATGAGAAGTCGATTGCAGGTAGCGAAAAGCAAAGGTGCCCGGCTTCCGACTACCTCATCCCGAAGATTTCGGGAGAGAGGCTGCGGCCTTGTTGTGGCTTTGCTTTCATATCCACGCTTGCCACAACGCGCCCCGAGCATCCGGAGCTAGGGAGGAAGAAGAAGAAGAAGGAGAAGGTGGAGGAGAAAGGGGAAAGACTGCGGCAACAACGACGACACCAAGAGAACAGGAGAACGAACGAAAAAAATAAAATAATAAATAAATAAGGAAAATGCATAAAATCAAAACGAATGAAACTATCGCTAAAACATGAGTATATACGCTACATGTGTGTGTATGTGTGTGTGTGTGTGAGAGAGAGAAAGGGAGTTAAATCTCTAGCACGCGGCTCGCCGCAAGCTACTTGGATCGATAGAACGAACAAATAAAAAAGTAGCAGTGTATATTTGCCCGTTTCAGCGGAAGATTCATTCCGTTTTTGCTCGTCCTATCGATCGAATGTGTGTATGTGAGACATTCGTGATTCGACCAAGGAGAGAGGGAGAGAGAGAGAGTTCTTCTTCTTCCTCTTCTCAGTCCACCACCCTCTCTTTATCTGACTTCACTGCATCTGCAGACTATGCGAAAAGGGTGAGAGAGAAAGGGAGAGGAGAACGAGAAGCGCTACTCGGATAGATAGGACGAGCAAATCTAAAAAGTGGCCGTGTATATTTCCACGTTTCAGCGGAAGATTCATTCCGTTTTTGCTCATACTAGCGATGGTATGTGTGTGTGTGTGTATGTGAGTATGCGTGTGTGTATGTGAGTATGAGTGTGTGTGTATGTGTGTGTGTGTGTGCACTCAGATTCGGCGGTGACATCTCACTGTTGTCATAGGAAAAACTATAACAAGTGAACCTACGGACGGAACATAGAACTATACATCGTCACGGATGATGTGTGTGATGAGTCCTTGAGTGTGCACATAGGTGCATGGGTGAGAAAAAAGTAAGAAAAACGTCTGGACAACTGATTCCCCGTCGATTTCGAACGTACGGCTGGCCGTAACATTTGCTCACTACTTGTATAAATTTATTTTCTGTTTTTGATATTTTATTATTCTTTATTATTATTATTATTATTATTATTAATTATCATATTATTACTATTACTGATACTATTATTATTATTATTTTTTATTTATTATTATTATTATTATTATTGATATTACGGTTATTATTATTATTAAAACAGGCTTATTGTATCTACCTTACCCGCCTGCCAAATGCGGTGGGTGGAGGCAGGCAGGGAATATGATGTCTCCGCAGGTGGCACCATTGACGACCTTCTTTTTCTCGCCCACCGGCTACCTGACCTCTCAAGATCTGCGAGAGAGTGAGGATGAAGGAGGGAGAGAAAGGTCGGAGGATGAAGGAGGGAGAGAAAGATCGAAAGAGAGAGGGGAGAAGAAGAGGACGATGATGATGATGATGATGGTGATGATGATGATGGTATAAGGGCACTTACCTCGTGTTGGTAGTAGTCTGTATGGGCGACGTCTTGAAGTACTTCGGGTTGCCGCTAATGTCAACAGATGCATTGTCAATTCGTAGGATGAAGTAACCGTGTAGAAGTAGGAAGGGATTGAACTCGTGAGTTGGCATGGGGAAAGTATGCTCTCCGTGATATTGATTTTTCGGTACTACAAACCTCCATTGGTGTATTATTGGTACGGTGATGCTCGCTGGACTGTGTGACTGTCTGGATTTCGATATAGTGGGGTAATCTGGAGTTGTCATCTCGCTACTGCTTACTTTCCTTGTACTATATTATTATTGTTATTATTACTATTATTATTATTATTATTATTATTATTATTATTATTATTATTATTATTGTGAGGAATGAGCCCTCAAGAAGGGGCCTTGCCATGTTGTACATGTTCTGGGCTAAGGCCCCAGCAAGCCTCGTGCCCGCCCTAAGTGAAGGCGGGCCAGATATGCGACCGCCCTAAGTGAAGGCTGGTCAGAATATCCGGAACAGGCCCTCTGTGCAAACATTTCACGTAGTGGGGTTCATACAGTTGCAGCACGCCAGTTGGTTGGAGTGCACCGAGTATCRGAGATCTGCAAATGCAGAACCCAGGGCCCCAGAGTTGGTTAGGCCCTGGGCACATACGTGAGGCCGACAATGCACGCTGGGTATAGAGGCCGAAAATGCCAAAGGKAAATCGGCCCACTGTCTGMATCTGGCCGCAGGCCTTGACGAGGGAAAYGCAACTGCATTGCCCCGGGCCTCAACTGTATCGGGCTGAGTTCAGCCACCGGGGCCCAGTCGCAGGCTGAAGGGAGGCCGCCCACACGCAGCACTGGCATATAGGCAAGCAGGGCGAGTGGGCAAGTATCTTGGCCAATGCTGGCATATGCGGGCACGCTGCGCGGATGCAAGTGTGCTGCGCTATGCAGATCAGCGCTGCGCTAAGAGGAAGCAGGCCAGCGCTAGGCGGTAGGGCGCTGCCTGCATGCAGGGCACTGGCGGCCATAGCCGGGCCGCATGAGGGAGCAGAGGAGGTGAGGGCGAAGGTGGTACTTCGGAGGTGAAGGGCGCTGTGTGGGTAACAAGGAAGAGTGTGGGGAAGAGGACACATACCTGGTGATGGTGGAATACGGCATTGGTGCTGACATCATCACTCGCTGGTAGTCAAGTTGTCTGGTTGCTGTTCATTGCTGTAGTTGTAGGATAGGCTGTAGAGTAGATAGGGCGCCTGGCGCCATTCACAAGAGAGGGCTACATTCGGGTTATGTTGTTGGTGTTGCCCTGATGGGCATGGACATTGACTCACGATTCTTCTGTATCATTCTCAATTGGATGGTTACTCGGTTCCATGTGCTATCTGCTTTGGCTTTGAATACTTGGACTTCAGTGTGATTTTGCATTCTGGATTTCTGTGCTTCGTCCATACTCATGTTCCTTGCATTATTATTATTATTATTATTATTATTATTAAATGCGTAATGATCTGGGGTACTCGTGGTGTCTGTATGGTGGGGATCGAGGTTCTGAGAGACATGTGAGACTTACCTGGAGCTCGAAGTG